TTTTTAACATGTATTTGATGTTATTTTATTTTAGTTGTAAATGTACAATAATATATATGTGTGAATTTTGTCACAGAAAATACTCTGTACTGAAGTATAGGTTTTAAACTTAAAAATAAAAGTAACAAGCCATTTACATGAAAAGTTAAAGCATAGTACAGCTTTATTAAGTTTGTTAAAGAAGCTAATGGAGCAATGTTAACCAGGTTTAAAGTAGAATTGCCATAATCAGCTTGGTTTTTCCTCCTTCACTACAACAAGGGCACTGGGGGTCCTCTCTTAAATCATATTAAGGTAGGCGCACAATGGTTGAAGAGGTGTCTGCCTTATTAGATCTATGTACCGTGGTTGAATCCACAGCAGGGAGCAGGGTCTGGGGTAACTTAAGATATGGTCCAAGGTTAGCAGTGGCTGTCACCATGAGGGTTTTAATTTTGTAGTGCCAGGCGTAGGGCAGGCAGGGTATGTAGGCACTTTTTAAATCATATCTACCCGATGGTTGAAGAAGTGCCTGCTTTAATAGTTCTACATATAGCTTAACTGAACGGGAGGGTGGTGAAGGGAGAAGACACAAAGGTAGGAGTTAGGCACACTGCCTGCCACTTTTGTAAGAGGCCAAGAATGGAGCGGGGGAGCAATGAGACAATGGTGCATTTTCAAGCAGTTTATATAAAGCTATGCTGCCACACACTACCCATTGAGATAATGGAGAAGTGAAAGTGGAATTGAAGTGTACCATACTAATTTGAATGGCAAAGATAGGCTGGGAGCAGTTTAACACATTACTCAGCTATCCAAATTGATTTTTAACGATAATGTTGAAGGGAAATGTACGCATTATCTTTTCAGCTCCTGGGGGGCCAGGCTTTGGGTGCTAGGAGAAAGTAGGTAGACAAAACCAAACAGACTGCCCCTGTAAATGTCATGTATTGTCAATAGTGATGTCCCGAACTGTTCGCCGAACTGTTCGCCGAACGATTCACCGCGGACTCATCATTGAGTAAACTTTGACCCTGTACCTCACAGTCAGCAGACACATTCCAGCCAATCAGCAGCAGACCCTCCCTCCCAGACCCTGCCACCTCCTGGACAGCATCCATTGTGAAGCTGCATTCTTAGTGAGCTGTCCCTCTGGGAGGGAGGGTCTTCTGCTGATTGGCTAGAATGTGTCTGCTGACTGTGAGGTACAGGGTCAAAGTTTACGCAATGATGAGTCCGTGGCGAACCGTTCGCGAACCGTGGAGAACAGTTCGGGACATCACTAATTGTCAACACTACACTAAGCTGTTGAAGTTCTGGTACTTAGATTATCCTTTTAAATTATGCTATTTGTCAAATAAAGCCATGTTTAAATTCAAGAATATATCATCAGTTTTACATACTTATAAAGAACCTACCTCCAGATAGTGTTCCTGAAGCTTTAGCAATTTCACCTTTAAAGATTTTATAATTATCTAAAGTGATTTCAATGTCTTTTATGCCACGGTATGAATGAATTCTTGACTTATTGTAATTCCAAATCCTAATCATTGCAACGTTACATGGTTGTAAAAAATCCATAAAAATAAAGTGACGTTTTCCCGGAGTAAATGGTGTCAGCCAAAGATGCATGTCATCCTGTGTCCTATTTACACCATCAATTAAATTTGTTACAACTCTTGGATCTTTACCATATGCTGGTAATATATTAATATCTGAGGGATCGGCTGTGATCTTCGCTATCTTAACAGGATTACCATTAGAAGAATAGATTTCAATTCCATTAAGACCAACATAATGCCTATCTCCCCACGTAGTTGCAATTTGAATGCACAGATGTTGTCCATATGGCAAGATTGGTATTTCAAAATCATTTCTATCATCTCTTTCAGTTTCCACTGTGTTTGAATCTTCCACCTTGGATATATCCTGTGCACAATTTTTTACGGCAGTATCACATAGCTTTCCAATCTTTTGTTGCAGTAAAAACTCATCAAAAATATCACCTTCAAAATTCAAGTTAGAAATTCTACCACGATGAAATTGATTAAATTTTAGCAAAGAAGTCCAGGATTCCATCAAGTTATTGTCTTGATCAGTATGCCATCTTTGTCTTTGTGTTTTAGGATTTCCTTGATTACCTATAAAAAACAATAAAAGAAAAATACCTATGTTATAAATCTAATTTGCGTTTGCTACAAAATAAATGTATAACATACACATAGCATGTAAATAAAAACTACTTCTACATCCAAATATAAATGTAGAATAAGTTGGATGCTAAAAAGTAGAAACCTGACTCCAAAAAACTCTTTTTCCTTCATTTCCACTGAGCGGATCGGTTCGGGTCGGTACAGTTTAGAAGGTTTAGAATGATCCAGCCTATTCTGCTGAGCGTTTCCACTGCAAGTCAGACCTACAGGGGCCATGCAGGGTTTAGAAAAAATGCTCTTCCTGTCCATCAATAAATGGATTGTATAGTAGTTCCGCCCTAACCAAACCATACCATTTCCTATGGCCCTACATCTGAAGCAGGACCCTGAATGGTGCGGTACGGTTCGGTTGTATGGGCCACTTTCATAATGGAAACACTCAAAATAGCGAACCGTACTGTACCGATCCGCTCAGTGGAAACGAGGCATTTGTTTCCTAAGTAATTGTAAGTGAATACTAGCTAGCTTCGAGGCTTGATTAAATTAACTTTATTTCATAACTGTAATACTTTGTCCTATATTATACAATTCTTTTTGTAGCAGTGATTACCACAAATACCACTAAAAAATCTTTTTTATTATATATAGAAAAAAATATTTAAACATGTCTGTCTTTTCTTAATGCTAATGTACTAAACACATTCATTTCTGATTCCAATACTATACACAATTTTTTTTTAGAAATTATGTAAAATTAAACTTTTTGGGGGGTTGGTCATGCACTTTTTTGTTATTAATTTTCTAGTTTAGCTTAACTTCCCTTTTGTTAACATTGTTGGCATTTTCAGATTTTTTTTTAGGTGAGGCTTCACTGATCAATCTGACTTAAATACCTAATTTGCATTTATTGCCAAATGGTATATGTTGTGAAAAGCAATTTTATAATATATCTTAAATGATCCTCTGTGCTTTTCTTGAGAGCGTTTCTGCTAGTCAATACGTTGTACTTTTGTCTTTAAAGAGACGCTATAGTCACCAGAAACACTACAGCTAAATGTAGTGATTCTGGTGTTTATCTCCTCTCCCTGCAGGCTTTTCTCTGAAAATGGTGTATTTACATTATAAAAGCAGTATTTACATTGCTGCCACCTCTAGTTGCAGTCACCCAGACAATGGAGAAAGAGTGAGTAAAATCACCATTTTTACTGAGAAAGTATGCAGCTAATGAACCCCATATGAATTTGCTTTTTTGAAATGATTACAAATGATACCATACTCATGGAGACATGAAGGTATCATTTAAAAGGTTCATGAACATGTTTTTCCTAGCTGAACAACTAGTCCCATTATTTCAGTTAATGTCTGGGTAGGTAACCTCTCCAATTATTAACCCCTTAAGGACACAGATTCAAAAGCTTGTCTTACCCTTAAGGACACAAGCCATTTTTTGCATTTTTTGCTGTTTGTGTTCAAACACAATTTGCATCTCTGTCATTTATTGCAACAACACATATTACATACCGTTTTTCAGAGGGCCAACAGGGCTTTAATTTTATTTCACATATACATAGATAAATTCTCATTAATTATAAAACAAATGCCACAAAATGGGGAAAGAAAAAAAAAAAGAATTCCCCACAGTTTTGGCAATAATAGCGTGTGCATAATATGTCCAGCTTAGAAAAAGTAATTCAAAATAAATTCATTTTTGTGTCTTGATTTATAAAATACATAATATGTATAGGATTTCAGCTTATTTTGAAAGTTACAGGTCACAAAATACAAGGACTAAAATAAAATTTTAATGTGAAAATTATTTTAGAAGTTGGTATGATTGTCTTATAGGTTTAGTAGCCACCACAGAAAACAAAATTGCCACACAAAATTATATATTTATATAAAGTAGACATCACAGGCTATTTAAGGTTAGTTTGACACTTATTATGTAACCATTTCATCGCCAATCTCTGCTAAATATTGGAGTAAAATTGTGCTTTTTTTCTCTATTTTGGCATATACACATATAACAAAGTTTTTGTAATGTGTATTTCATTAAGCTGGAGTGTGCTATTCCAGTACAGAACCCCATATTGTGTTCAGCTACATCTGCTGAGTATAACAATACCCCCATTGTATGCCTTTGGCACTTTTCTGTAAAGCTACAATGCCATATAAGAGACAAGGCTATTTCAGTTTCTATAGTTAGAATTTTCCTAGATGGATTTGACGGGCCTATGTCTCATTTTAGGGTATTATAGCAGTGTGACTGTTCAAATAACCCCACAAAGGGCTTTAATTTGATAAAGCAGACAACTCAAGGTATCTAGTATGGTGTATATTGTGCCTTAACTTGTCACAATTTTTTCACCAATTTATGTCAATGTTTGTGGTGAGGGGAGAAAAACAAAATTGCATTTTTACATATATGTTGCATTTTTGCTCAGTATTTCTTACACTTGATATGTACCACTGTCATAAAAATCCCCAAATTATGCTGTTACATCTTCTGAGTAAAACAATATGCCCAATGAATGACCTAGACACTATTTTGTGAAGTTACA